TGAGTCGGAACCGACTCCATGGCACACAACAACAACAACAAAGATTTACAGTCTTGGGAACCCTATACAGGGTTGCTATGAGTGGGAACCGACTGCATGGCACACCACCAACAACCATAGTAAACATTATAATTTCTATACTATAATTATTTTACTATACAATATTGTGTTGTTGTTGTTCAGTGCCGTGGAGTCGGTTCCAACTGTATAGGTTTCCTGAGGAGTGGCTGGAAGTAAGCATAATGATGCTGTAAGTATGTTACTGTGCTGTAAATAAGGTTGTTGTTGTTAAGTGCCATTGAGTCGGTTCCAACCCATAGCGACCCTGGATAGGGTTTCTGAGGAGCAGCTGGTGAGCTTGAACCGCCGACCTTGCAGTTCCAACGACTTTGCAGTCTGGTGCATTAACCCATAGCGCCACACCAGGACTCCTTAAATAAAGTAGTTATGCCTTTATATGTATATATAAACACAATACATTAAATAATGTAGCTTATTTAATAAAGCGTTAGAGTGCCTTCCCAGAAGCCATATCTTCTCCAGTTTGGTAAGGGATTATGTAGCTGTGGCACGTGTTTCGGATCTTGATCAAACATACTGAGAAAGGATGTTAGCCACAAAGTGGTCTGCATGGCTTCCTGTCCTCCCTGGAAGATGAAAAAACAGTAGTTTCGTTTATAATAAAATATTTGGCTAAAAAGATGGGTTATTCCCCTCGCTTCTGTTACATTTCTTAGTAGGCTATCTGTAATGCAGGCATATCTGTAACTGTAGCAGAGATCTACAGATTTAAACTAGAGGTAAAAGAATTTTAGCATTGTAGCCCTTAAAGGGATCTTTGATATTATCTAGTTATTTCTTTCATGAGTCCCAGACAGTCTTAGTGTGGAGCTGTAGGATAAGCCCTGGACTGCTAACTGCAAGGTTGGTGGTTCAAACATGCCACTTCTTGGAAGCCCTTTACAACAGCAATGGAGAACCTTTTTTCTGCCAAAATTTATAATATCATTTTTGGGCCATATGAAACTAACAGCTCAAAAAATAGTCTGCGATGTTAGGTCAAACATTTAATTAAATCAACCCTAATGTGATGGCTGGAGTCCTGGTGTGGTGCTGTGGACTTTTGCACTAGAACGCAAAGTCGGTTTGAACCGCAAGGCCAGTGGTTCGAACTTACCAGTCGCTCCTCGGAAACCCTATGCAGGGTCACTATGGGTTGGAAGTGACTCAACAGCACTTAACAACAACAATGTGATGGCTAAAGAGCTTTGGTAGCATAGTCATTACTAATTGGGCTGCTAACCTCAAGGTCAGCAGTTTGAAACTACCAGCCATTCCACAGGAGAAAGATGAGGCTTTCTTTTCCCATAAAGATTTACAGCCTTGGAAACTATACAGGGTCGCTATGAGTTGGAATCAACTCCGCAGCACACCACCACCACCAGTGTGATGGCTGGAATTGCAGTTGTGTTGGCAGGGCCAAAGCAAATTATTTCTTGGGCCTTATATGGCCCACAGACCGAATGTTCCCCACCCCTTCTCTACAGGGTCACTAGGAGTCAGAACCGAGTGAACGGTACATAACAACAACAACAAAGTCTTAGTTCAACTTTCCTTCCATAGTCTGCAGTATTTAGCCCATTCAGAGACATGATTAACATCCATTAGACATATATACCGATAGAGCTATATCTGTACAGTGATGTTGCTATTGTTAAAGCTGCTAAGTCGGTTCCGACTTATAGCAACCCTGGATAGGGCTTCCAAGGAGTGGCTGGTGAGTTTGAACCAGCAATCTTGCGGTTCAAATTGACCTTGCTGTCGAGTGCTTAGCCTACAGCTCCACACCAGGACTATTATGTGTATAAAATCCAAAAGAATTTTAGTGGAGATAATTGATTAAAGGACAAGAAAATATTTTAATATTTTATCAATCAGTGACAGACTTCAAAACCAGGTTCAAGAAAGGGGTCACTTGGTAAGTAGAAGAATCAGATATAAGACAACTGGGAAACAGGGTATTTATAATTTTTAATGGCTCTAAAACCTCCGTTTTGAATACATACTAGGGGGCCTTAAAAGTTCATGGAAAAATGTCATTACCTTTTAATTCCATTTTTCTATTAACTTTCTAAAGCTCCCCTGTATTGTTAAAAAAAAAAAAAAATTCCTGTGGTTTTGGGTTGAATAGTTTGGAAATATGTACATTTTGTTCTAATCGTGGTGTAAGGCCTTACTGAATTTCAGATCAATTAATTTTGTGTAAGGCTGTTTTCATGAAGCTGTAGTGATTCTATCTGACCTCACAAGGTTTGTGTGGTTATTAGACTAGTGTTCATGGCTGATTATATTATCCTTTTAAATTGCCTTTTAATTTTCTGCTGATCTAAGTGAAATGGATAATATAAATTAATTAATATTGGATCTGCTCATTGTTTACGCTCTAGGAAATTTCAGGAGACAAACAGAAAGATAAGACACAAAACAAATCTTCCATTTGAAGTTGTGCCCTTTCATTATTTGTACCTTGCTTATTTGCTAGTTTTTCCGTGGGTTGTCTTTCATATCAGCATTCATACAAAATAGCTGTGCGCCCTGTAATAGAGAGCCTTCTAGATTTACACTATGTTCACCTTGTCCCTAAATCCCCCACCTCGGTCAGAGCTGGGAGCTGAGAGCCGGGATGTTAGGCTTGTGCCTCATACTTGTCTGTGCTCTTGTGTGAAGAACATTTTGTTGCAGCTAAATTTTGGTTCCATTGTTTCCTTGCCTGAAGCTCTGCTTATAGTTTGCCTTCATTTTTTTTATTTTCTCCCTCCAAAGTACTGAATTTAGTTGCTTCCTTGACTGCTAAGTACTTTTCTCCCCTTGCTGTTGGGGTTGGCTTCAGTGGTTGGAGTGTCATTCTGTGGCCTGAGGTTTCTAACGTCTTCATGTAGAAAACAGAGCCAGTTACTGGAATTTCTCTGCTTGGAATGTCACATCTGGAAGACTTAGGTGGTGTTATTTAATTTACCTTCTGGATTGTCAGGCCATCTTTAGAGACTTAAAACTTGTCTGTACTTTTAGTTTTACTATGATTATTTTGAACAATATTAAACACCATACAATCAGCTGCCTTCTACATTCCCAAGAAAACGATGTGAAGTTGGTCCTTCTGTATGCATGTTTCTCCTCAAGGGATTCGGGGGCCTGTGAGTAAGACCACAACATGACAGATGTGTAGAGGACTTCTCCACACAAGAACAAACCTGTGTACGCATGCATATCACATGTGTGTGGCATTCAGTGCTTTGAGAAGGGGAATTTTTAGGGACTCGACACAGCATTCCTACAAGGATTTACTTCATGGATCATGTAATGGGATATTGGCATTCTTTCTGAAATAAGTCAATTTCAGTGCCATTGTAGGGGTGTCAGACACTTTATGAGTGAGTTTATACTACTTCATCTGAAAATGAAAACCAACAATAATGAAAAGAATGCTTTAATCTTTTTAAGACACTAGTGATAATTATAATTATTGGTAATTCTTCAACTAAACAATGAATATTTTTTTTTTTTTTAAAGTTTGGGTTGAATATGAATCTGCTATCGAAAAAATATTAATTCATTCAGGATATCAAAAAATGTTTTTTTTCAAATTCCAAAAATTTCTATGAACTTTTATTAAAGTTCATAGAAAAATGGAATGAAAAGATAATGGAGTTTTCCACAAACTTGTTTAAGTCCCTTCGTAGGTTTGAAGGGTGGAAGAGAGGAGAGGGTGTGGGGAAACTCCCTAAATTACTAAGGTTCATCTTCAGGGTAAAATTCTGAAGTGTCACGGCTTTTGCTCACTTTATCTTGGCCTTTGTGGCGCTGTAGGATCAGCACTTGACTGCAAACCACAAGGTCAACAGTTCAAACCCACCAGCTGCTCCTTGGAAAGCCTATACAGTGTCGCTATGAGTTGGAACTGACTCGATAGCACTTAACAACAACATCTTAACCCTGGTGTGGTGCTATAGGATAAGCACTAGACTGCAAGGTCAGTTTGAACCTCAGGGTCGGTGGTTCAAGCTCACCAGTCGCTGCTTGGAAACCCTATACAGGATGGCCATGAGTTGGATCCAACTTGACAGCACTTCACAACAACAATGTGTCTCACATGCACTTATCATTCTTCCTTTATCTTTTCTTGATAACTTTCATGATTTATTATATTAGCTTTAGCAGTGTTTCTATACTGCTTTTATGTATAATGCCTTTCTTCAACTGCTTTTGCTGATTCAGTTATAGGGACTTGAGTTTAGGTTCTGGTTCTTCTCGTACATTGCCCAGTATGGCATTCCATAAGCAGTGAATGCCTAAGGAGGGCCATTGACTGGCTGAGTCATTGCAGAAATGGCAATCTATGAGAAACTTCCTGTGGAGATTTGCTTTCTCATTTTCAGTTGCTTCTGCTCCTTATTACTAATGGATGGTAGTGGTTTAAAGGATTTAACGGTTATTTGGTGATTTCAGTAGAGTTACTTTGTTACTATAGCTTAATTATAGTTTGTCTGAAAATCTCTGAATCCTTTAAGAATGTAATCTAAGAAACGATCTGGTTTTTGAGAGCCTCTCTGCGTTTGCATTTTGTTGTGGAATCAGGGTCTGTTATTTTGTTTATTTTACAGTGCGAGAGCTAAACCTGCAGGAGATCAAGGAGGATTTGGAACTGGATCCAGAGGAGAACAGCCCCTTCTTCATGGGCATCCTCATCAAGGGACTGGCCAAGCTGAAGAAGATCCCAGAGACAGTGAAGGCCATCAAGGAGCGCTTGGAGCAGGAGCTGAAGCAGATTGTGAGGAGGTCTACCACGCAGGTGGCCGACAGTGCCTACCAGAGAGGAGAGAACCTCACTGGGGAGAACCAGCCAAGGTAGGGGGTGCAGTTTGTGTTCTTCATGACTCTATTATTCAGTTTCTTGGGCAAGGAATTAAGTCAGTGTTATCTCTGTTCCTATTGTATTATTGAGTTAGGATCTGATAACTCATTGCCATTGGTTCTGACTCATCCCCACCTGTGAGAGACAGTTATTGTGATTGGCAAATGCTGTTGAGTTGGTTCCCACCCATAGCGGCCTTGGGTGAAGTTTCTGAGGAGCAGATGCTAGATTTGAGCTGTGGGCTTTGTGGTTCGCAGTCCAGTGCGGATCCTACAGCACCACACCAGAAGTCCATGAGAGAGAGTAGAAATAACCAATAGGGTTTCCAAGACACTTGTCTGTGGGGACCAAATGCCACATTGTTTTCCCTCCGTGAGTTAATGAGTTTGAACCGCTGACCTTTTGGTTAACAACTGAATGCTTAACTGCTGCACCACCAAGGTTACATAGAATATCATAGCCTATACAGACTTAGGGGTACTGGTGTGTGCGCTGGACTGCCAGGTCAGTTCCAGCTGCAAGGTTGGTGGTTGTGGTTCAAGCTCACCAGCTGCTCCTCAGAAACCCTATGTAGGTTCGCTGTGAGTGGGAACCAACTCAACATCACTCAACAACACCAGCATACAGACTTAGATTGGTGCAAACATTTTGAGCAGGCATCATTGGCTGTCTGGGTTTTGATGTAGTTGACAAGCTTTAAAGCATATGGTTCATACTCAGATAACTAAACTGATTAAAGAACGTAGCGATTCGGAACATGTAGCAAGTAGTAAGCGGCGTCTGAGGTAATTTGTGTGCACTGAATTCTCACTACGACTTTATGGGCCAGGTACTAGGATCTGTGTACATTTTATAGTTTAGGAGACTGGAACCCAGAGATTGAAGTTATTTAGCTCAAGGTCACTGAACAAGTGGTTAGTCTTGGAGTTGAACATAGGTCTGTTGATTATGAAGTATGTGGCCTGTCTACTGTCCTAGACGTTCTGATGTTACCCAAGTATCAAAGCAGTTTCAGGAATTCTTGTGTTGATTTAAAATGACTAATAGGATTTGGATTTCGTAATTCTGTTTTTGATGCCGAGAAAGCTGAAATTGTACTCAAGACATACCTCTCTGTGGCTGTCTTCTACTGGGAGATCATGTTTGCCAAACCAGATTTTAAGACATCATAGGCCTAAGGTGTGCTGACCCCAGCCATAGTATTTTCAATAGCCTCATATGCATGTGAAAATATAATGAATAAGGAAGGCCATGCATTTGAATTATGGTCTTGGAGAAGAATATTTAAAGTAATATGGACATCCAGAAGAACAACCAAATCTGTTGAAAGAAGTACATCTAGAATGTTCCTTACGAGCCAGGTTGGCGAGACTTTGTCTCCTATTTTGGACTTGCTCTTAGAAGGGACCAGTCCCTGGAGAAGCACATCATGCTTGATAAAATGGAGGGTCAGCAAAAAAGAGGAAGACACTGAGGAGATGAATTGGCACCGTGTCAGCAATGGGTACAGACGTGACAGTGATTGTGAGGATGGTGCAGGACCGGGCAGAATTTCGTTCTGTTGTGGACAGGGTCACTCTGAGTCGGAACTGACTCAATGACACCTAACAACAACAACATGCCAATATTGTCCAGCAGTGGAACAACATATTGGCAATTGAACTTTCCTGGAAAATCCAAGATCCGCTTTAAAGAGGTCTTCATTCTTTCCTCTCCTTCCTTTGCCCCATCCCACACACCAGAGAGGTAGAAGGCAGGGGTTTGTCATAGGGATTAAGGGTCCAGGGAAACATGGTGAGATAGATCATGCCTTCTCATTGACTCAAGTGTCCAGGTTCCCCAGAAGCTCAGCAGTGTCAAGAAAGGGTACTGATGTGTTCTTAAAGACATTCTGCTTGTACTTGTTATTGTTGTGAAGTGCCACTGAGTCGGTTCCAACTCATAGCAACCCTTTGTAGGGCTTTCCAGGAGCCACTGGTGGACTTGAACTGCCGGCCTTTCGGTGAGCAGTCCAGTGCTTATCCTGCCTAGAGCACTACACCGAGACTCCTGTTTGTACTTAGGACCATCTCTTCTTCATTTTTTTGTTCTGTTTTTAAAGAAGAAAGACAAATTTGAAGAGGAATACTATTTGTTGATTTAGTGCAACCCTCCTTCGTTCTGCCTTTTAATTTTTGGGTTACCTGTTTCAGTTGTCTGTCTGCCTCTGTACCTATCAACACTACATTTAAACAGGCTTTACAGCACTTCAGCCTTTCCCCACATATTTGAAATCAAATGTTTTGATCAACATGGAATTCAGAGAGGAGCCGACTTAACTTTGAGTCCCAGCTCTGTTATCTGAGGAACGTAAGCCCTGTCTCACTGTGTTACTTGCTTTGGCTGGGGTTCTAGACTGATGGTGCGCAGTTGAATAGTAGCAGTTAGGACTACCACACACATGCGAACCCACACTCATGCTGTCCGCACAGACTTGTGACAGTGGTACGCGTGCCCTGCGGAGCAGAATGTGGCCGGGCCCTGCACCATCTTCAGTGTTGTTAGCTCCAACAGTGAATGTTCTGGGTTATCAGTAAGGTTTGCATTGATTAGAAGTAGATCACTAGGTCTTTCTTACTGTCCTTTCGTACTCATACATTGGCCTGGAGACAGTGTCTGGCCTCTTCCGGCTTCACAGGAGGGAAGGAGAATCAAACTCCATATCAGTCCAAGGCTGATTCCTATGAGATGGAACTCAGGCTGCCTTCACCCTCCAACCTGTTTTAACCCATGTTAACACTAACCATCCCTCCTCCAGCATTCTACTTCTGTGCTGCATTCCATGATTTGTTGCATTGGCCACATAGAACTCACAGACAATGCTCACAATTATGGGGTTTGTAGGGGAATGAACAGTTCGGGCTCAGAACCCCCTTGGGATGCAGCAGGTCTCCAGTCAGGAGCACCTCTTCTCAGCTGTACCGCAGGCCGACCTCTCATTCTGTCTCTCAGCTGTGAGGTCCATTGTCCGGATGCCCTGCTCAGGTAAGTTGAAAAAGACCCAGTTCTGTTAATAAATGCCCCAAAGGCACCCAATGCTGTAAGTCAACTTTCTGCCCAAAGGCACTCAGCCTTGTTCCATCTGTGGGCCGGAAAGTCCACTGCTGTGTCTCTCTGTACCACCACCTCTTCTTAAAGAATCTTGGGTACAAACTACAAACTAGGTGCTCTGCTTGCACCTCTTCTTTCTCTCTGTTGGTGAGATCCCCATACCTGCTTCTGAGATGGCTTACTTGAAACCTAGTGGAATGGTGGAAGTAGCCAGTCCTCAGGGTAGAGTTGTATAGATTTTATTGACGTGGACCCATGCAATCATCCAGTGGGAGTTTTGAAGACTATGGATGGAAGAGCTGTATCAAGGAAATTCACTGTATTATATACATGTATATGTATGTGTATATATGTTATTGTTAAGTACTGTCAAGTTGATTCCAACTCATAGTGCCCCTTTACAGGGTTTCTGAGGAGTGGCTGATGGGTTTGAACCACCAACCTTGCGATTAGCAGTCTAGTGCTTATCCTACATACCACACCAGGACCCCACTCCATATAATATGTAACAAAAAATCTTCAGAAGTGGAACTATCAGCAACATCATAATGTTTTTGTTGTGGTTAAGTACCGTCTAGTCGGTTATAACTCACAATGGCCCTGGGGAGGGGTCCCATGGCTGTGAGTCTGGGAGAGCAGAAAGCCTCATCTATGGAACATCATGGAAGACACAGAAATCCAAGTTGCCAAGGATTTCATTTTATGTGGATTCACAATCCATGCTATGGAAACAGCAGTCTGGAACACAAATGACACCTTGTATTGGACAAATCTGCTGCAAAAGACCTCTTTAAAGTGTTATGAAACAAATCCGTGCCTGGCCCAATCCATGGTAGTTTCAGTGGCCTGACAACCTTGTAAATGTGGATACTGAATACAGAACACTGAAGAATGGCTGATGCCTTTGACTCATCATGCTGGTGACGAGTGTGGAGAAGACTGTAGACTTCTAAGGAGCCCTGGTAGCAGTGAATTACTAGCAGGGATGCTAACTGCAAGGTCAGCAGTTTGGATCTACCAGTTGCTCAGCCCGAGAAAGCTAAGGCTTTCTGCTCCCATAAAGATTTACAGTCTCAGAAACCCTCTACAGGGTCGCTAGGAGTCTGAACCGACTCGGTGCCATACAACCACCACCATCACCACCATGGACTTCTAAAAGAATGAGCACATCTGTGTTGGGAGAAGTATAGCCAGGAAGGTCCTGAGACACTAGGATGGCAAGACTTCATTCCTCAGTCTTTGAACTTGTGGTCAGGGAGGGACCAGTCCCTGGAGAAGGACATCATGCTTAAGTGAAGTAGAGGGGTCAGCAAAAAAGAAGACTAAGTGAGATCGATACAGTGGTCCAGTGTCAGCCACCATGCACCCTAACAGAGCAACAGTTGTGAGGGTGACCCCGGACTAGGCAGCATTTCTTTCTGGGGTACCGAGGGTCGCTAGGGGTTGAAAGTGACTTAATGTCACCTAAGAATAACAGCAACACATGACAAGTTGTTTTTACTTTTAATTAGTCCCTTCCTCAACTGCCATCCCTTCAGTCACTCACACTGCGATCCACAGAAGCTGAGGGATGGTCTCTGTTGACCTTTGCTTTTCTTCTTTCATTGCCTGGTGCCTGGATTTCAGTGCAGACCTTTTACCTCTTTCCTAGCGAACACTCCAGAATTCTGGTTTGCTATTTGCCCTATTGCTGCAAGTCTCTGGATGAATACACTGAGCTTTCTTAGTGAAATAAACATTACTCTAGTCCATATTGGACATAAAATGAAAGGGCATGGACCAATAATTTTTCTACAGATCTCATTACACGTCCCCGAGAAGCACTGTGCCTTTCGTAGCGTTTTCACCTCTTCTTCTCGTCCCTAAATCCCTTCCAGAATTCACTGGTGGAAATTATAGCCCT